CATGCTCCTGCATGGTGTTACGTGAGACAGTGCATGCAGACCGGTGCTTTTTCATTTCTGGATGCCCAGTTTTGAGCCCTCATGGTACGATGGAGAGAGATGCTGAGCACTCTGATGAGCAATATCATCACACACAAGTCAGAAGGAACTGAATTCATGCTTCACAAGTACTTCAAGTTTGCTTTCCCTTGCTACTGAGTGCTTGACTCCGTAGTCATCTATGATGACTAAAGTTCTTTCACTGAAGTGAATGCAAATGTGGAAGAAAAAAAAAGGAAAAAAAAAAAGGAAAAAATAAACACAATTATGAATAATAATAATAAAGAGCACTAGTCAGAAAAGTCAAGAGAATGGTAAGAGAAATGAGTGGGGACAGGGGAATATGAAATGGAACTGCAATGATCCTTATATTCTTTGTTCATCCTTTACCCTTCACCTAAGTCAGCAGTGAAATGGACTCGTGATATTTCAGAAAGAGGATCCTAGATGACAAAGAACAGAAGAAAGGGAAGTGTTCTTCACTTGCATTCTGCTCCCAGGAGTGTGGGGGTCTCTCACAAAGTGCGGGGAAAGGAGGACAGACCTACAGTTCTGGGAGAATGGGCGAAGTCGTGCGGATATTGGTGTTTGTGATGGCTTTCATCAGCTGCAATGGTGAGTAAATGCTTCAATGTACAAGAACAAAAATCAGAGTACTTAGTGGGCAGGGAAAACCTTTTGAATTATAATGTCTTAATTTTTAAAAATTGTCAAGCGTGGAAAGTCTTTAGTTTCTTGTAGGAAAAAAAGAGCCTGAGAACTCACAAGAGTTTCCTTTGGTATCAGATACAACAAGGTGCTTTTAAGAGTGGAGCAAACAGGGCAGTGTTGGGCAAAAATGTCAGCTCCCATGCCCCAAACAAGAACAAAACAGGATTGTTCAGGACTCTTGGAAAGGACCTACTCTGGTGTGTTACCTTCCAAAACAGTATTTGTGAAGCTGGAATATGTGTTCTTCTAGAATTTAATAATGCATCACCGTTGTTCTGCTGGCATGGTCCTGGGGAGAAGAACTGTAATTGTGAGACTAGGTATGGACACACACATGATTGCCCTCGGTCTCTCCTGATCTGCTGACTCTATAGGTGCATTAGCAGAGGTTATTCTGGTCCATTGTTCCTGTTTCAGGTCCAGTACTTCAGAGCAGAACCCTAAAGGCTCCTGCCTGCATGGCGCTTCCGTGGCACCAGGACAGCTGGTGCTGGCAGGCTAGGAAGGAAGAATCATAGAATGGATTAGTTTGAAAGATGCTCAACCGTTTTAGAAAATGGGCCAGAATATGAGAATTCTTTTTTTTTTTTTTTCCCCATTATCATGCATTATAGATAATAGAAACCCCGCTGATGAGTCTTCTAATCTCTAGCATAGCCCTTCAGGTTTTCAACTGATCCAGCTCTATTTCCCTCCGGTGGGACAATTCACATTGTTTGTCTGGAAGACTACATCCCAGTTTAAGAATTGTCAGAGGGAGAAAATACTTCTTTTAAAAATGCTGGCTCAGGGATTTTTGTTTTGCTGAGTTTCTCCCATTCCTTCCAATCAGCTCTCCTTTGGAGTCATCCCTGCTAATGCTGAAATTGGTCATACACAAATATATATGTATATATGTACACATATATGCAGCTGCTCTGCAGGGAATCGGTGGATATAGGCAGCTATTTCATGACACGCAGCAATGCAAAACAGTATGGGAGAAAGGTTTAAACAGAATTGTGTCCAGATGAATACACTGGATAACAAACATACTTGAACTTGAGTGCACCAAATGCCTTGAGGATATTTCTGAGCAGTTCTCTAAATAGCTTCCACCCTTCTTAGTTTTTCTTGGTGGCAGTCTGTGAAAAGAGGAAGAAGAGAAATGGAAAACCTTTAAAAGCTGGTATATCAAGGAGTTGCGTTTGACTGGGATGTGAGATTTCAAGGACGGAGCCGTGCCTGCCCTCTCAAAATCCGCTGGTAAAGGAAAACCAAAGCTCCATGTCAGAAACAAGCTTCCACTGTGCTCAGCCCCAGCAGTCCCCTTGGCTGTCCCCATGGACACAGATCCACAGATGATTACCTTCCCCCAACTGGCGCCTCCTGTTATCTCTGGGACAGGCTGTTGTGCACAGAAGTGCTTCTCCCCGCACAGCTATTCTGTTGGGTCCTGTGAGCACCAGGGAAGTTGCATAAAAAAATAGTGACGTTAATGAATGCAAATATGTTGCATTCATTGTTAGTTGCAGTAAAGCAGTAAACTTAAATTTATTCATCCTTCCTCCCATATAGAGGGCAGAAGTGAACACTGCAAGTGGTGTTGTCAGAGCATCCCGTCGGGGGGGAGGCCATAGCTTTTTGACTCATCATGTGCAAGTGTAAGCAGAAAGTTCAGCAGCAGAAGCAGAGTGTAAAGGCTGGCGCTAGAGAGCAGGAATAAGAGATGCTCCTTAAGGTCTTGTGAAGACTGTAGCTGTGATGCTGCCACCAGGAGAAGGATCTGTGCCTCTCTGTAACGAGAAGGAATTGAGAACTGGCAAGTGTCCAGAGAGAAGCAATAAAAATAGCCATGAGGTCAAAGCAACTGTTCACTTCCCAATGCTCAGTGAGGTGGGGACAGGCCCTGCTTTAGCTGACTATGGTCTACAGCATATCTAAGATGTGGCCGCCTGCTGGCTTCCACCACCTACTGATGCCCATCTATCCTAAGAATTTTTTCCTCTTCTACTGCATTCTTATTTCTTCCTTTCAACTGTTGTTCCCTGCAGCCCTCCTGGATCTGTCTGGTGTTCACCAGGTCAAGGGCACATGGATGGGATCCACCACTTTACCATGTACCTACACACCCTCAGAAGGTTTCACAGAGCAAATGCTCAGCTGGAGAATGGAGCGAGACTATAGCACCTCTACCATCTTTCGGAGGGACGATTCTGGTGACCACATCTTGTTATCTCGGTTCCGAGACCGGGTCAGCGTCCCAGAGCACAGCCCAGGGGATGCCTCACTCCTGATTGAGAACCTTGAAATCCCCGACAGTGGACACTACACCTGTCAAGTCATCTGGAGATCTAAAAATAATAGCTTGATAACAAAGGAGGTGACCACTACAGTTAAAGTTGTCAAAGGTAAATCCAGCAGTAAAGCCCTGCTCCTGTGTAGCCAGTCGAATCCACAGACCATGTAGGAGAAGTAGGTGGTGGGAATAGTCTTTCAGACCATACTGCCTACCCACATCCAGGTTGGGTGTTGAGGCATCCTCCTCCTTTGCTGTGTTAGCCCTTCTTCTCCACTTGTGGAGGTGTAGGGATGGACTGGGGAAGGGGGATCAATTAGTTTACACCCCAGTATGGCTCTACTAATGGGCCACTTGAGCCCGTGGTGCTTGAGACAACTTCCAGATCTGGTTTTGGTTTTGCACAGGTAGCCAACTTTTCTGTGGTTCCTGTAGCAAGTGGGACAGCAAGTGGGTGTTTTCCTAGCCAAATCTGCCTTCTCCCCTTCCCGAGCACTTTCAGCAAGTGCTAGAAGGAACTGGCTTTCTGCAAGGGGGACAGCCACCCAGCAGAGCAGGACTTGTCTGATATGGCAGTAGCAATGGTGGCATAGCTGGTGTAAACCTGCCTTTAGGCACAGGTGAACTGAGCTTAACCTGTGCAGAGCAGTGATGTGAGAGCGGTGCCCCCCCCATCCTGGGAAAGCACTGACAGCCGGAGCAAGAACTGCCGTGGAGGGGGGGAAGAACCTTCCCCACCGCGACCAGGGCCAGTGTCACCTGGGCCCCATCTGCTTTGTCTTGCAGTGGCGGCGACCAAGCCCGTCATCAGGGCCGGCGAGCTGGGGCTGACGGTCCCGGCAGGAGCCAGGACCAGCCTGACCTGTGTGGCCAGCGGGTCCCCTCCCATCAGCCACCCCC